ACGCAGAACAAAAAAACAGAAAAAACACACAGAACAAAAAAACACGCGGAGCAAAAAAAAACACTCTTACCCAAGAGCACCATAGGTGCATCTTGGACACCAGATTTGGAAGCGTTGAATTTTTGCCACAGCTTCGATCCAGCGTTGCTAGGATAGCAGGTCTGTACTTGCACTTCCTGAGCGAACTTAATTGTCTTGCCTCACGCTTGCGTACTAAACGACAGTTGTTGAGCACCAATCTAAGAAACAAATGCATGCGGATTAGCTGCTTTGCTTACCCGCTGTCATTTAGGTTCTAACTGGTGCACCTGTAAGTTGGAATGTTTTGTTCAATTTTTCACCCACCCTCCAGAGCCCTCTTGGATGAGATATTGATCTCATGTATATACAGAGTTCCTCCATGTCTCGCATTACCCGGGAATATTCTACTACTCGTTCGTCTCCGTAGGCTGCATGAAGAGCACTGTAGATGCATCTTGCGCACCAGTTTTGGAAGCGTTGAATTTTTGCCACAGCATCAAGACATGGCTGGAAAAGAGTGCGATCACCTTTCTCCAGCGTTGCTAGGACAGCAAGCCTGTACTTGCACATTTTGAGCGAATTTTATTGTCATAGCAGAACAGGACTGACGAAGGCCGAAGCTAAATCATTCGAATTGGCATCACATCCCTGTCGAGATCAGGCTTCTTTTCCGCCCCAGCACCGCGGACCCCACATCAGAGGTCTTGGCCGCTACTTCTGACAGCAGCTGCTGTGGGGCCCCCAAGACTTGGGATCACGGGGAGTCTCACAGTGACTCGAGGTGTTTACGTGTCTGTTTGGCTAGGGTTAGTGCAGAACGACTCCGCATCCAAGCCTGCCTAGGATGCTTGCAATTGTTCTTGGCAATGCTGTACATATCAATTGCAACAGCTGCAGGCGCCTGCTGCCGCACGTCGCACATTGCGCAGTGCTGTGGCCGAGGGCGGCAAGCACTGCGGGGCAGTGCCTCTCAAATGTTTGGGCTTTGCGTTTTGGCGCGCGTCAGATGGCTGCGCCTCCTAGCAAGGCATCCTCTATCCGCCCCCAAGATCGCAAGATGCCTCTTACCGATATCTCTAGGAGGGCAGCCACAAACTTGCTGTATACAGCTGGTGCGAATTGTCGAGATGGGCCAAAGATGGTGCAAGCCTAGCTGCGTTTTAATTCCATGTCTGGGAGGACCTTCACGTGCGAAGTTTTTTGCCTTTCTGATTTCTTCAGATTTTGCTTGTGGGGCGGGGCTTGAGTGTCAGAACGTTCCCAGGCTCATACCTTTTTCGGGGACATCTCTCCTGTCAGCAGCAAAGCCCGGCGGGGAGATTCTCGTGATGCCCTAAGGCCCTAAGCACTAGACGGCGTAAATCCAACTGATAAGGTAGATGGAAAGCTGCCAACTTTGTAGGATTCGGGAGTTCAACAATGCCAAGCCAGCTTGAGGCGAAGGGCCTGCCAATTGTTTGGTCAGCAAAGGTCTCCTGCGAGCAGCAAATGGATGTGCTTTGGTGATGGAATTTCAGCATGTCAGCTGCCCTTAGGTTAGGGCCTGGCTCGACGCGTTTGTCATCGGCCGAACTTTTTGCCCTTGGGCACGGCCAGCATCCTGGCAGCCTCAGCATTCGGAGGACAATTTTTGCTGCTTAGCCGGGAATGGTGTAATCATGTGCAATCGGCTCTGAAGGACCATACGTAACGGCTCCGCTAGGCTCCAGTTCGTCATCCGTAGCACTTGAGCACTAGAGCAATAGGCGAAACACCCCGCCCCTTGAAGTAGTCTTCGTGGGTCTTTCGGATTTATGTGGCTTGAGCTGTAGCGCAGCTGTTGGGAAACGATAAAGTTCGATGATTTGATTGTGGGGGTGGGTGTTTCATTGGAAAACCATTTAGTGAGTGCCCAACAACGATACGCAGTTTTAAAGACCCGTTTGGGAAGACGGAATATGGCTCACCGCGTGTCAGGGAATAATTCCAAGGACAGGGTTTCGGATGGGCCTGATGGAGGGTTATCACGAAAGCTAGCTCCTT